CTCCGCGGTCCATCTCATCTTGGGCACTCGGTATTCTGGGCGGGTCGACACTGTCAGCCACGACAAACAGTAAAGCGAGTGTTTAAAAAATCATTTTTAAACATTTGAAAAAATCAAAATCAAAATCAAAAAAATCAAAAGAAATCAAAAGAAATCATATGATTTTATTTGATTGTCAATCATTGTACAACTTTCGCACAAGACAGCACCCCCTCGGCGTGTGTTTAGGTCAGAAATGTATCCTTGCGATGACTTGTACGGACTTGGCGGGCTCGTAGCGGGAAGTGGATGGCGTACCTTCGCGACCACCGCGCATTTATAGATCTAATGTGGCCCAATGTTTGAGATGCCACGATGTTGGTGGAGCCCACCGGAGCCACGCACTCACGAGAGAGCTGGCGGTGGCGCCGCGACGCGCCGTGCGTGAGTACGCGTAGCGCTGCTGGAGGGGGAAGGACTCGGCCCGCTCCCTGGGCCCAGCCTAAAGGTGGTCCCGGGCACTGGGGGCAGGGGCAGGGGGCAAGCAGGCGGCCGGGCCCCGCATTCCAGCGATTCCAGCGGGCTGTCAAAAGCCCACACGGAGCAGCAGCAGCCAACCTCCGCTCCAGCAGCAGCCACGGGCCTGGAACTGGGAGGGAGGGGGGCTCCAGCTCCAGCTCCAGCTCCAGCTCCACGGGCTGCAGGCCCGCAGACTCGCTACCGTGCGCCGCTCGACACGCCTGACACGCCCCGCCCCGCACCGGTAAGACAGGGGCAGGCCCGGGCAGGCCGCAGCTCCTCTACCGAAACGCCTCGGGGCCGACGCGTTCCTGGGATGCTTTCTGGGCGGAGAAAGGCATACGAAGGATCCCCATCAACGTGTCGAAATGCGCGAGCAACGCTGAAGAGTGCCCCCACCTTGCCCCCAGCCCCCACCTTGCCCCGGCCCGACCCCTAGCCCTCGCGTCTTCTCCCCGCGTCAGCCTGGGAGGCGGGCAACCCTCTCAGACCCATGCAGCCGTGTGTTCGGGTGGCCTATACTCGAAGACGGCTCGCGCCGCCGCCGGCGGCGGCACGGGAGCAACCGTGTCACGAATGCGTTACTTTCAAGGAGGAACATTAGTAAATCTTGGAATAGCATGTAGGTGCAATGTCTTTAATGGAATGATGTACATATGACTGTGGCGCGCTCATTAATTAGTCACAATGCGTCACAAAGTTAATCAACAGCAACCCTGGCTACCTGCTCAATGAGTTATGTTTCTGCAAAAGGACAGAAAACAGGGGAAAGAGGGGAGGGAGCAAAACGCACCCCCCCCCCAAAAAAAAATAGTTTGAATGTAATCACAGTTGTTACCACGTTTGTTGTAAGGGGCACGCACTTAACTTTTGTACCACCAAGAATAAATCCGACAAACCTAATAATATCAGCAGCGAGATACGAGAGCGGCCGTTCCACGGTCACAGATAAGACTACAATTAACCTAAAGTCTCGCACACCAACACACTCGCACAACAGTCACACAATAACAAAACTCATTTAGAAAAATTGACTTGCAACACACGGTAAACCGTACAATCAATTGTTCACTTAGTTAATCTATCATTAGAACTATAGTACAAAAAATAACTCTACTTTTTCAGGGGGAAAAAAATACAAAAAGGGACGCCACGTAAGGGGCGTCATCGGTTATTGCAGCGTTATATAAAAATATAATACACGCGGGTACAAAACGGAAAAATAGTTTGTCTGACTCCTGTCCTGCCCTGGCCAGGGCCCTGGAATGCAATCAAGATGTATGCATATCCCGACTAGTTTCGTCTTCGCCTCGAATGATGCGCTTCAGGCAGATCAGCGCTCTGTTCGAAGGTCCACCAGGCTCTCGCTGGACCCTCGCCCCTGTCGGGGCTGGAGTCGCCCCATCTGAGTCTGCACAGGTCCGGCGGCGGGGCGGCCGTCATGCTGTCGAGCTAGGCCCGCAAACGCGTTCAGCACTCCTGGAACAGAAACGAAACGGCGAGGTGCAGCAGGGTGGGTTGGCTGAGACAGAGGAGGCGACGGAAACACGTGGCGGGCTGCTCGACCGCGACCCGCGACAGGGGCAGCAAAGCCACGCGTACCCGAGCAAATTACTCGCCACTGGCACTACAAGTAGAGGGAAGGGCGCATCTGCATGAAACTACCGTCTCAACCTGTTGGGCGGAGCGACCCGGGG